GGAAATAGTCATTTTTGGAAAGAATTAAAATCTGGAAATTTGTTTAAGTTGCCATTTGGCCAAGTTAACACTTGAGTTGCCATTTTGGCCAAGTTGAATGTTGACTATTAAACATTCTAAGTTATTTCATTAGTTAAGTTGAGTAGTGTGCTATTGATCTTTATAAATATGCATAAGGTCTTCCGCTGAGTTAGTAAGTCAGGCCAAGGGTTCGCTTGAGGCCATCAATGGTCTTCAAGTGCCAGTCCCGCCCAGGGTGTAGGCTCGGGGTGTGACACCCTTCCACAAAAATTACAATCAACAATTCATAACATATGCTGCACTCTCAAATCAACTTATATCATAATCATCATATATGCTTTAATATCAAAGCAATTCATAATGTACCTTATTTATCCTATAAGAATACACCTAAATTCATAAATTCTCCTTTCTTGGATCAAAACCCACTTACATCAATTTCAACTTAGAAACATGGGTTAAGCATAGGTACATTTAAATTCATCCTAAAAACATGTAATCTTCCCAATTCATGCATAAACAATCATAACCCAATCAATTGGATCAACATTCATAAAGACCCACAACTTAGAAGAAAACCCTAACTCAAATTGGGGAATTTCTACTTTTCAATTGGAGAACTTAGGGGCTCCATGGATGAATAAAGTCATCATACCTTACTATCAAAGCCCACAAGCAATTGGAGAATGGAGACTTGACCTTAAGCCCTAGCTTCAATCTTCTTCTTCAAGTTATAGAGAGAGAAATATTTGGAGGGGAAGAACTTGTTCTTCTTTTTAGGAATTTGAGAGAATCCTTTTAAAATTTGGGGAATTTTGGGGTAAAACTCTTATATAGGTCTTTAGGTGAAGGGTAAAACAACAGGATATTTAATTAAAATAATTTGAAAAGACCCTGAAGTTCCCGACTTAAAAATTGAGATTAAGACCCACTGAAGCTTGCCAAGGGCCACTCGGCGACTTGTCGAGTAAGTCTTTAGCTCGCTGAAAATTAAAGCGAACCAGCTCTAGGACCTAGTCAATTAGGTGATGGGGGATTCACTTTGGCGATTCACCGAATGGAACGGCGAGCTCGATCTAGCTCGCCTAAAGTTACAACACACGAGACTCAGAGATCAAGACAAAAAGGCGAGGGGGGCACTCCGCTGATCGCCGAGTCATTCGGCATCCTCGAGCTACTTCGCTGAGTGGTTGCGAAACGAATATATTTCCCTTTTCTGAATCTGAGGTGTTACAACAACATTTCTAGTTAAATCCCACAAAGTAAAATCTATGGAGGGTAGAGTGTATGCAGACCTTACTACTACCTTGTGAAGGTAGATAAGTTGTTTCCGAGAGACCCTCGACTCAAGTGTATCAAACTCAAGTAAAAGAAGAAGAAACCAATGAAGAAATCATAATGGTTAAAAAGAGAAGAAGTGTAAAATCAACAAGAGAGACAATATTAATGGTAGAATAATGTGATAATCAGAATACAATAAACAACATATGGTAATAACTACAAGGGCATGACTAGGCCTACAAAAGACACTAAACCTTCGCAAGGCAATACAACACACTATCCCTACTATCCTTCTACCATAATATGCGACCCCCACTCCTTCCTATCTAAAATTCATGTCCTCGATAATGTGAATTTACTTGATAATGCTCAAATGTACTCTATGAAACCAATTAAAAGAGACAGTGAACGTCGTCTATGAAAATACCGAACTAAGAGATCGATCAGTAGGGGCCTACTGGTTCACCGTCCCGGTAAGAAAAAATGATTCAAAATATGTAGAATTTATAATTTATTAGAGACAACTAATTGTAAGTTTGTTACTTGGTATGTTTTGAATTATATCAATATATTAATAAAGTCAAAGGCTCATTGAGTCTTTACCTTTCTTAATTTCATTTTTCATAAAATTAGTATATCTTCAGTTAAATAATTTTAATCACTTTATATAACCATATATTAAAATTAAATTTGTAGTCACCATAATAAGCCGATACTTGAAAAAATAATGTTAACAAATATTACTGAAATAAGTAGACATTAAAAAATTAAAAATACATTTATTTAGTATATATTATAAGTATATAATACAATATAAATATTCTACTAAATATGTAGTATATTGTGTGTGTATTTAGTATAAGTGTGTATATATGTGTGTGCGCACGTGTGTGTTTATGGTATATATTATAAGTATACATATAAATAATAAAATGTAATCAATCTATTGTCATAAATAGTTATAATTATTTCAAAATTAAATATATAACAATACACTATATTGATAATTGACTCAAACTTTTGAGTTAATAAATGATGATTAAAGAAATAGCCCGGTCTGTTAGCCCACCAAACCAGAACCCGCCCCATTTAACCTGATACACTTATCTCATGAGTCACAATCCGGTGTAATTTCACTGAAATCACTATTCAGTTCGGGATCGAAGACCCATTAGTGGGGAGCTCGGTCCGGCTCGGTAATTCAAAACAATAATAAGCCCGATCCGACCTAGTTAACATGCTTAATCTAACATACATCGTCACTCAATCTTGTACACTACCTTACAAATCTTAATTGGAATGAAATATTCTATGCAGATCTTGGTTTTCTTTCTCTAAAGTGACTAGTGGACCATTTTGAGTAAAGTGATTGAAAAAAGGGGACCCAAAAAAGTACTGGTCAACAAGTCATATTCTAAGAGCTCATTTGATACGTGAGATATAAATAATAATTTTGAAATAATATTTGAGAATAATTTTATTTGATATTTAATTTAATTATTAGCTAATCTCGGAATTATTTTATTCATTATTTATATTAAAATAGTGAAATTATTGTCCTATATAGAAGATGTAATAAAATAAACTCATGAGATATTTAAACTCCCATGAGTTGGTTATTTTGTAAGAGACTTTTTTTCTTCCTCTGAGGTTAAAATTTTGGCTCACACATTGTCGTTAAAAAATGTAATGAAGTGATAAGTATTCAATTCATTTTTAATAAGAGGTTTTAGATTCAAGTTCTAGATATATAATAGGCATGGACCCACCTTTGATTAAAAAAAAAGTCGTATCCTTCAAAGTGAGACTTCACGATGTAAATATGAATTAAGTTCTAAAATGAATATTGAACAATAAATGAGAAATTAAAAAAAGAAAAACTCAAAAATTTCATAATTTCACTTTATCATTTATAAAAATATATTTTGATAAAAGAATATCAACAATAATAACATATTCAATAAAATCTTATAAATAGAATTTACGGAGAATAAAATATACATAAATCTTATCATTATCTCACGAAGATTAAGAGTGACATTAGGCATGAATTTTGGTGGGCTGACTAGTTGGTCCTAGTAGATACCATCAAGTCTGCAACCTCTTTGAAGACCATCATTTAAGACCTAATTAAAATTTATTAATTTTTATAAATTTAATCATTTCAAAATCAACTTCAGACTTACGTGTCTTAAACTTAAAAATCGTATGAATAATTAAGTTGATTTGTCTTCTTTTTTTTCTAAGTTTATGAAGTGAATTTAATATTAAGCTTCAAATACTAAAATGTTAGTAAAAAAATAAAAAGATTATTATTTTTATATAGAATAAGGTGATAGATATAGAAAACAATAAAGTGGCAACACTTACGTATATGACACTGCCACAACTTATAAATTAATTAACCTAAGGTGAATCAGTTATTTGTCACATGATTAATTTGTATCATATGCTTTTATATTTTGAGATCTGTTTATTCAAAAAGAGAAAGAAATTTGCTAATTTTTTTTTTTACTATATAAGCCTAATTGAGTATGTTAAATATTGTATGGTATAAAATTTCATGTCAACCAATTTTAATGAAAATAATTAGTCGAGTGATTTTCTATGAAAAAAATTCTTAGTTGAGTGATTTTCTATGAATTTTTTTTAGTTGAGTGACCATTTAAGATATTAATTCCTTTATCATGCGAGATACAAGAATTCTTTATTTTGTTACATCATCGAGAGATAATGATCCATTAACCTGCTAATTCATTCTTTTTACGCGGCACAAACATATGAATTTATATAAAAAGACTAAGAATTGATAAAACTGCATGACAATCTTATTATAGAGTACGTCGATAAATTATATGCCCTTTAATTGAATCATAAGTACCTGACACTCACGACAATCGATTATATGACGGCTCTCGTCAATCTTACAAAGGGCATTTGCTGTGTGCGTCATTGATCAAAAGGCTAGTGATTATTTTAATATTTTTTGGCCAAACTCCAGACCATAGGTTATTTAATTTTAGCATGTGTAAGATGTCCCTCACACCCTATAGGCCTTTACTCTTGTGTTGTCTTTTACCTACCCTACTTAAAAAACATAGTGTAGCTTTAGATGTTTTCAAGAAAAAAAGAAGTTATTTGCATCATCAGGTGAACTTATCAGCACTCGGTATTTATATCAAACTAACGAATTCAAGACTTCTTTCATCTATACATTTATCACTTAACCATGTATTCGATCATACTTAAAAAAATTTAATAATGATAAACACTCGGTGTGAATAAATATCGACCAATAAATAAAAAGAACAAAAAGGAGTATGCATAGAGATGAAGAAGAAATCATCCACACATGACTAGTAAAAGGAGTAGTTATTTTTTTTCCTTTTCCAATTCCATGACAATAATCTTTCACATTGCTAGAAAACAATAGCTTTGTTCACATCATTATTCATGTTTATGACATAACCATACTCCATACATGCGTTAGACACAGCTTGCACACGCTTCGACTATTCTACAGGATACATATAATCACCTCAATCACAGGTACTGAATAACTCTATCCACCTAGTCTTGACGAGAGGGGAATTAATCACCTAGCGCACCTTTTTGTCTATTGTTAGGCCACACCTCTAGCTTGCCAAATTTTCAAGTCTAGTATATATACATGATGAGTTAGAAGTGGCATTGCATCTAAACAAACCATTTGTATTCATTCATTCAACTAAAAATGTCTGCTTCAAGACTTGTTTCACTTTCAAGAAAGATTATTAAACCTTCTTCTCCAACTCCACTTTCACATAGAATTCACAAGCTCTCACTTATGGATCAAATGGGGACTCACTCCTACATGGCAGCTTTGTTATTCTACCCGAAACAGAACACCACGACAAGCATGCCAGAACCAACGAAGATATCCCGAGTTCTTGAAAAATCCCTTTCCAAAGTCCTAACGTCATACTATCCGTTTGCTGGACAAGTAAGAGACAACTCCTTTGTCGAATGTAATGACATAGGAGCCGATCTATCCATAGTCCGAATTGATTGTCCAATGTCTAGTATCTTTGATCACCCTCGTACTTACATCGATAATCTAGTACTTCCTTTTGATCCTTGGTTCCCATCAACGGACAGTTTAGTCGCAGCTAAACTTGGTCATTTTGAATGTGGTGGCGTAGCGCTTGGTGTATGCCTTTCACACAAGGTTAGTGATGGTTGCAGTTTGGGTAAATTCTTAAGGGACTGGTCTATGGTAGCGCGCGATTCAGAAGCAAAACTATCTCCTCTGTTTATTGGATCATCAATATTTAAACCATCAAATTCTTCATCATTTCAAGTAGTTGCTGATCCTCCTTTATACAAAAATGAATCAAAAAGGTTTCATTTTTCAGCCTCCAAGTTAAAATCTCTCAAGTCCTTAACTGATTCCACAACTCAAATCCGTCCTACGACAGTTGAAGCAATCACTGCATTCCTATACAGATGTGTCAATACAACACCATCCTTACTGATACAAGCAGTAGATCAACGCGGAACAAGTAATGATGGACTAGTTCCAGCAGACTCAACCGGGAATGCTATTCTTCCTTTCGTTGTATCAGCAACAAATAAGGAAGAGATGAATTGGGAAAGACTAGTTAGTGAGCTTAGAAAAGGTAAAGAGAAGATTCAAGATATGCTCAAATACATTGAATCAGAAGAGTTTCTATGTTCAAAGGTATCTGATATAGCTAGAGAACTAAACGAACGGACCTCAAACAACGATATTCCTATGTATAGATTTAGTAGTTTAAGGAGATTCCCATCAAATGACATGAATTTTGGATGGGGGAGGCCAAGACAAGTTGATATTTCTACTTTACCAATCAATATGTTCATCTTGATGGATAACCAAAATGGGGACGGAGTTGAAGTGATCGTAAGCTTGGAAGACGGAGAGTTGTCTGCATTGGAAAGAAATGATGAGTTCCTTCAGTTTGCTTCTCCATGCTTAGGATTCTAAGACGCGAAGGAGGCAAACGCGTTACCTTTAAACCCCTCAAATACGATAACAACACGAGTGATTTCTGATCCTAAAATAAGTAGAACAAAAAGAGTTCTTGTAATGATGATTGATTTCTATTGAAGTATTGCCAGAAATTTTGTGCTTCTTCATCTGTGATCATTCTTCTGTTTTGCTTATGTCTCTCGATTTACGTTAGCTTCATTCGTCAAACCTCTCTATAACAGTAATCCTTTATAACTACTACATTTTACTATAACATCCATGTTTTCTGTGATATCGTTCTTTCATGTTATGGTGTGAATCAAACGTTCTCTATGTACAGAGAAGTAATAAAAGGCTCAATCAGCCGCTGTCCATCTATATATAATGACTACAAAGGGGATATTGGTAAGGGGAATAGGTAACCTAGTACAACACAAATTATAACTAGGAGTCCTACAAGTCTCGGACTATGAGTCCTACAAGTATACGGACTATGAGTACTAATACTCTATACTAACATTTCACTATAGCAACGAAAAAGAAAGAAATCGGAAACAAATGAGTATCGTTATAGTGAGATTTGACTTGATCTTTGCCTATCTTGGCAAGCTTTTCATTTATAAACTACGTCCTTGTACTATTTCCTCATTTCTGTTTCTTACTAACTTTATTTCCTTCTTTATGATAGTGTAGCATTTCAAAGTGAACAAAAAGCTCTAACTTGTCATCGAACTTTTAGAAATGACTCAGCCATGCAATCCGTTAATAGTTGGCCATATTTATGCCGTTGTCGTGACAAGAAGTGCACATTGGTATCACTCTTCACTAACAACTCAAATAACCAGTTTTGAAAAACCAAAATCTACACGGGCCCTAAAATTAAACTCACGTTATTTTAACTCATACCAACTAATTAAATTAACTCCACACCTTTCACTAGTGGCAGAGCGGTGGTACATGATTTTCACCAATTAAATCCATTATCAACTAAATATAAACAAAAACAAAAACAAAAAAGAATTTAACCTCATAATTACATCATGATTTTTATCACCCCATACACTTCCATATCCACTTTCGAATAATTTAGTCTGCGAACCGAACGACTAGAGTCTTAGACCTAAGGGGTATTTTAGTCATTTTCTCATACTACACCAAAAAATCTACCCCCTATCTTAATAAAGTCCTTCTAGTTTAGATTTTCATCTTTGGATTTGGTTTTTGAGTGTTTCTTGAAAACCTTATCTCTTCAACACTCCCTCTAATTCTTCCTTCCTTCCTATCCATAAACCCTAGCAAAAACCCTAGCAAAAACATGGCTTTTCTCCCTTGTCCATTGAGATATAGCAAAATGAACAGTCTTTTTCTACTGAGAAAGTCTTCATCTTCACTAACATCAAAAAGGGTGTCCATTAATTCCATTTCCCATATCTTCAGTGACAAATTTAGTCCCAGAAATGCCCTCCCAGTACCTCAAGTTCACAGCTTTACCACTTCTTTAACCATATCAGCACCACCAATGAACTGGGTTGATGGTAAATTTGGGTATAGTGTTAAGGGGTTTCATGGGGGTGGTTGTTGTTTGCAGGCAGCGACGGCGACGGCAATGGCGATGGTGGATTTAGAAGAGGATTGTGAAGAAGGGCTTGAGATTTCGAAACTTGGGATTTCTGAGGAAATTGTTTCTGCTTTGGCACAAAGGGGAATTACTAGCCTTTTTCCAATTCAGGTGTTTTAAACTGTTATAGTTTTTATTTTTGAAAAAAGACTGCATTTTTAGGTACTAATTTTGCTATATTTGTGTATAGAAAGAGTAATTTAGACTTACTTGGAGGTTCTTTGCATATATGTGATTTCCATCTGAGAAAAAGAAAAGCATATTGACTCTTATTTTTATGTATAAATTGTGTGTTTGAAAGAAAAAATGTAATTTAAGCTTGAAGGAGGTTCTCTGTAGTGCCTTGTTTTGCTATCAGTCCATACTAATAGTTGTAGTATTGCTCTTGTAGTTTCTTTTCTATGTGCTAGTTCTTGTATTATCGTATTATTTTGTTGTGTTACTATCTGTTGTTTTAGTTACTGTCTTCCTTTTCTGTACTGCTTTGGACTACTTTTCGTTGGGTGTATCTATCAGAAACGACCTCACTACTGAGGTAGGGATAAGCTGCGTGGATACACTCTACACTTCCTAGACCTCACTTTGTGTGACTATATTGGGTATGTCGTTGTTGTTGTTAAGCGCTTTTCCAAATTTGGAAATCCAATTCCATGTTGGATTATCTTATAACCAAATACTAATTTTGAAATAAAGTGAATAATTCTCATGGCCAAACAACCCATTGTAAAGAACATTGAGGTGTGTCAGGTGTGGAAGATCCTTTCTTACTTATTTTTGTCAATTGTTTTGGGTGAGCTTTCTTTTTTTGTATTTTGGTCTTATATGCTTCAATTAATATGTTGTTTTCGGCCTCCCCTGAATAAAGGAAGAGAGGTCTAAATCTTCGTTCTTCTAACAGACGTATGTATTTTCATTTGGTTTTAGTTTTGGTTTCTGATCAAAACTGAAAGTCTATGAAAAAGTTTCTGATTCAAGATGGATTCTTTTTCTTTTGTGTTGTATCAGAGAGCTGTTTTGGAACCAGCAATGCAGGGGTCAGACATGATTGGCCGAGCTAGAACTGGAACTGGAAAGACACTAGCTTTTGGCATTCCTATCATGGATAAGATCATTCGCTTCAACAGAAAAAAGGGGTTTGTTCACTCCGTTTTCTTTGTGGGGTTTATTTAATAATAGGTCTATATGGTAGCAACATTCAGTTTCAAAAAGAAGAAGAAGAAGAAAAAGATATGGTAGCAACATAAAATATCATCTTGTCTTAAGCTTGTCAAAGAGTTATTGAGAGAAAATGATCAAAATGGTCCCATATCTTTGGTAGTAGGTTCAAAATAATTCCTTAAGTAATAACTGCTGGTTTTGATCCTTTTAAGACAACCAGAGGTGAGCACTTTCAGTCTCGGTCAAATATTTACCAAATTTTGATTGTTAAATTTCATCAGAACTGTGAATTATCTTTTCTAACCAGAAACACCAGAAATATCCGTCAAAATTTCAAAAATCTCAACATAAAAACCTACACCAGACACAAAAATTGCACCAAATTCTTGAAATAGACAAATATAACATAGACTACACAATTTGTACTTCTAAATGTGAGTTCTAAATATTTTCTACTTTCATTGTTTCAGTAAAATTTAACAATCAGAGTTTGGTTAATATCCAACAAAGACAAAAAAATGCTCTCTTTGGGTTAACTTAAAGGATCAAAACTGCTCAAGTGATACTTAAAGGACTTTTTAAAACTTACTACCAAAGATAAGGGACCACTTTTGTCATTTTCTCGAGTTATTGATGACTGTTAAATTCTGCTTATCTGTTGATAATGTTAAATTCGTTATAACTGAATTAATATTTTGGTTGTTTTAAACTATACAGACGGGGAAGAAACCCTTTAGCATTGATCTTGGCTCCCACTAGAGAACTTGCACGCCAGGTGGACAAGGAATTTTATGAGTCTGCTCCTGTTTTGGATACGCTGTGTGTTTATGGTGGGGTACCCATTTCACGCCAAATGAGTACTCTTGACAGGGGAACAGACATTGTTGTTGGGACACCTGGTCGTATCATTGATTTGCTGAAGAGAGGGTCATTAAATTTGTCAGATATCCAGTTTGTTGTTCTAGATGAAGCTGATCAGATGCTTAATGTGGGATTCGCAGAGGATGTTGAAACCATTCTAGAAAATATTAGGCAGAAACATCAGACAATGATGTTTTCAGCCACGATGCCAAGTTGGATATTGAAACTTACCAAGAAGTTCTTGAAGAAACCAATTCACGTTGATCTTGTGAGGCCACTATTCTAAATTACTGTCTTATTTTTGTTGAGTACCCTAGAGGTTTTCTATGCTCAATGATTATGTGTAAATGTGTGTGCAGGTAGGAGATTCTGACCAGAAATTAGCTGATGGCATTTCTTTGTATTCAATTGCTTGTGAGATGCGTCAGAAACCAGCAGTTCTTGGACCCTTAATATCGGTATGAATCTATAGCCTGACAGCTTGTTTGGCCCAGCTTCTCAAGGCCCAAAGTGCTGTGCTTTTTTTACCCCTATGTTGGGCGTGTTTGGCCAAGCTTTAGCAGTTTCTTAGAAACTGAAAAAACTAGCTTCTACCCAAAAGTACTTATTTGAAGAGCATGCACTTTTGTCATTTAAAAAAAGAAGAGCATGCACTTTTGAAAAAATACACTTAGCGGTCTCTTGCTTCGAAGACAAGTTATTCTGGGATTAGTTATGCCGACATTATTTCTTATCGACTGTTTGGTTTGTTGTATTAAAAATAACATGCATTGCATAATTGCATAAATAGTACTGAATAGGGTGCATCAGTATCAGTATCAGAATTGTACTGGTATTGTTAATGTCATGGTTTACTTTGTACAAGAATAGTACTGAATTGGCGTATAAGTAATACTGATATCATTTGTATTAGATTTAAATTTGCAACCAAACATTGTACTAAAACTTTATACCAACATTTGTTATACCTAATACACCCTAGTACCCTACCCAACGACCCCATAGAAGCATTTTTTAAAAGCTTAGACAAACACCAATTGCTGCTCAAAAGTGCTTTGCAAATTGAATAGTAAAAAACAAACTGTTTCTCACTAGAAGTACTCTCCAAAATAAGTTGATTTTAGAAGCTTGGCCAAACATGCTATAAGTCTCTTATCAGTTCTACTTCTTGTCTATCCTATTGATCCAGTGTCATATATGTTGCCTCCCACCATAAGGATTAAAATGACTTCTTGTTCTTTTTCCCCAAAAAAATTCAAGTCTGAGCATATATTTATTCTTCAGGAGCATGCAAAAGGAGGCAAGTGTATTGTCTTCACTCAAACAAAGCGTGATGCTGATAGGCTGGCGGGTGCAATGCAAAGAACTTTGAGGTGTGAAGCTTTGCATGGAGATATTTCACAAAGCCAGAGGGAGAGAACTCTATCTGGTTTCCGACAAGGTCAATTTAATGTATTGGTGGCCACCGATGTTGCTGCCCGAGGACTTGATGTACCTAATGTTGATCTGGTTGGTCTTTCATGCTTTATTTGCTAATTATTTAACCATGTTTCAAGCATTTCTTGTTCCTTGTCTTCCCTTCTCTTTCCACTTCATGAAAAGAAAAACTGGGGAGGGAAGATAAGCCTATAAATCCGTATTAGGTACTAAGAAAGAGTTATGGCTACATAGACTTGCATGTTTATGGAATCTTAGAAAGTGTAGGACACAAAATTTTAATGAAATTATGATAAACATATAAGCAGTGCGCCAGTGCCATATAGATTCTTGGGAATTTTAGGATTATCTGGAGAGCATTGTATATCAAAACGAATTTCACACCAATTACAGAGTCATTTTTGAACACCCTTTCAGAAACAAACAAACCCTTTTCAGGATAAGTAAATATTTTATCAGTAAGAGAAATGTGCTCCAAGAGCACACTAAAATGGCTTTACAATAGCTGCATGTCTAGTGAGCTTTAAAGGCTGTACAAGGAAGGAAGCAGTTCCTAGTCTCCATTCTTAATCGGGTGATTATTCAATAACTATAAGAAAAAAATGTCTTTTATGCAGTTATCCATAAAAGAACGAGAAGAAATGTGTTTATGCTTGAAGTTTTAGAGTCTTCTTTAATTGCAGTTTACTTTTTCTTCTTTTACTATCTGAAGTTAAAGTAGAGATATTGGTGCTCAGGTGATACATTACGAACTTCCGAACAATTCAGAGATCTTTGTTCATCGATCTGGTCGAACTGGACGTGCTGGTAAGAAAGGAAGTGCCATACTCATGCATTCCTCAAAACAGCATAGGGATGTAAAAGGTATTGAACATGATGCCGGATGCAGATTTACTGAGGTAAGGATGCTTATACCTTACTTGCAGTTTTACTTTTTAATCCTCACTTGGATTTGTTGTCATTTTCACATATGGAGATAGGGAGAATGCAATAGATGCATGTTGCTATGCTCGTGTTTGGTAATCACATAATGGTCTGTTTCTAGGGTGTTGTTTGGTTTGAGGTATAAGCCAAGATAAACTTGGTATGCAAATCGGTATTACTTTAATACCATGTTTGGTTTCCGGTTTTAAAATCCATATTCCACCTTCTATCCCATATAAAATAATATATAAATTCCTGTATAATTTTAGCCCATATTAGTTACACCGTGTTTGGTTTCTGGTATTATAATCTGCATAAGTTGTGACAATCTTTGGTATTTCTAATTTTCTTGAATTGCTGAAGTCGAACACGAGCCTGTTGCCGTATCTTGAACTGAAACTCATTTGGGTTTTGGGCTGACATATTTTTCTGTTCCTCAATTCTCACGTCGAATAGTTCTTGATGGTTGATCTCCTAAATTCAAATCTTAAATATGGAAAATTTGCTAGCTGGTGGTGACCGGACTTCTCTCCTTTATGATGCTGACAGTTTTTCCCTGTTCTTTCTTGCCATGCTACTCTGATATACAGAATTGTTGTCTCATCAAATTATCTTTTCTGCATGTACTTGCTGAAAAAAGCTCCCAACAATTAAAGTAGAGGCTGGAGCAGCAGAAATGTATAGTGAAATGGGAAAAGATGTTGGCCGCTTTGGCTCCAATGGAGGAGGCACCATGCGTAGTCGATCTAGTGATTTTGGTGGAGGTCGTTCTGGTGGCTATGGAGGTGGAGGTCGTTCTGGTGGTTATGGAAATAAGAGCAGCAAGGTTGGTCGAGAAGGCTCTTCATCTTCTGCTCGAACAGGTGGATACGGCACAACTGGTTCAGGAAGATCAAGAGGTGGCTTTAGTGGACCTAGCTCGGGACGCTCAGGAAAGTTTGGTGGTGGTTCAGGAGACACACGAGGCTCAAAACGTTTGGGTGGTTTCCGTAATTTTGGTGATTTTGGAAGCTCCAAAAGTTCAGATCGGTCGACTAATTTTGCAGAAGAGTTTGGTTCAGGCCGTTCTAGAAGATTTGGAGATTTGGATTATGACCGAAACAACCGTTCAAGCCGTTTTGATGTCTTCGGAGATGACAAGGATAGTGGTGAATGGTGATCAGAGTTGGGGGAGGAACTATCTCTAACTCTGTTGCAAGGCAAGTTTCATTCTCCCATACATGTAGATAGTTTAACTACTGAACACAAAATGTTGAAAAGAAGATTAAAAAAGGTTTAAGTGATGTAACAGTCGTAGTGGGCGGTTTATTTTTGGGTCTGTCATGATGCACATATTGGAGGGATCATCCTTCCTAGAATAGTCTTTGGTAGTCGTGGAAAGCATGCTTTCATAAAGACATAAAAACATCTTGCAACTGATGGATTTTTTCAAAGATACTGCAGTCAACTCACATTGGTTGATGTGACGCTATCAGAGCCGTGGACACATACTGCATGTGATTGTTTGAATACTATGCTGCATTTCATTGTACGTAGGAACAGAAAAATTAAGGGGGTGGGGGATATTACCGTCAAATCTCTCTATAACATCTTTTTTTCTGATATCTTTTTGGCTGCTATATGAAAAATGATGTTATACTGAACATATAATATAGCGCAACATGAAATATTGGTTCCACAAAAGCATGTGTATAGTGAAATGTTATAAGAGGTCTGACAGTATATTCGTGTCTGATGATCTGATAAATATCATGCTGCCTCCATCATCGGAGGCTCCCAAGGTTATAACTGAAGGATTATATTCTCACGTAATGGCTTTGGTTTTGGTTCAGGAGGCGTGGCCACTCAATAGATGACGGTGAAGATGAAACTCCAATATGTGAAGTGTGTGTGTTGATTACCAGGTGCTGTAGAGTAGCAGCAGCTGCAGATGGTGATGCTACAACTCGTTACAGTAGAAAATAACACTTCAACATTCACTTGATCGCGAAAGGTACCTACATGCTATATGTAACCGATAGCTTACCAAGTTCTCACCATTGCTGGCGTTATGTTTCTTCGCTTTATGTTTATATTCTTTGATCTCAAGCTTGAAATGAATATTTTTTGCAAGAGATCATGTTGGTACTTGCTAGTAGTAGTGGTTGTAATGTTCAGTATAAATTTTGGACAAACCTTGACCCCTTATTATTAGGATGTATTGAATTGTTGAATCAACAGGTGAAAAGGCTTACAGTGGAAAGTATATTGTTTTTCTTTTGCACTTGGAAATAGTGATTCTTCTGAACTATTATTCCTACTAGTGTTTTAAAAGGTGGGGCATGAGATAGAGGCGTTTTACTTAGCGTAAGGTGAGGTGTAAGCCTCGAGACATCATGGATCTTTAAATTTTTAATTTACAATATAATATAAAAAGTTGATAACATCAAATTATAAAAACACATCAATAGTTTGAAATAATTAAAACATGATTAACTCATAGAAAATATAACTTCCCTTTTCCTTTTTCTGGGATGGGCTACTTTTGGGTTTATTCCCTTGTAAATATTGAACCTCTTTTGCTTTTAATAAAATCAACTTTGGCTTAAAAAAATAAAAATAGAAAATATAACTTTCAACATGATTATACAATTATAAATAATGTAATGATATTGATATTATTATGAGATGCAAAAACTCTAGCATCTTAACTTTCTAATAATAAAAGAATTATTATTTCTAAAAATATTTTATTATTATACTATACAATTTAATCCCCTAAAAGAAAATACTCAATAAAATTTATTGATATTATAATAAAACATCACTCCATCATGAATAAAAATAAAGTTACTTTCAAATATAGCTAAATAATAAAATATGATAATTTTGATACATGACAAAAACATGAAGAGCAATGATAAGTGAAAGTAAAATTTCACTATTGTATTTTTAAAAGAAATGTTATGTAATATATAATCACTCTCAAAGTGTTTCGAAACACAACTTGTTATTTGAGTTACTCTCAATCTTCTTGTTTCTATAGATTAAAAAACTATTAAGTATCACTCATTTATTCAAGAATTATAAGACTCAACAATGTTAACTAAATGATTTAACACAATTTGTATAAGATCTGTTAGGCAAATCCCTAGCGTTGGGCTTGCTTATGACGTACAATCGGCACCTAGGGCGTAAGTCTTACGTAACTAAGCTCCAAACTTAAGTCTTGGGGCATTTTGCTATGGCCCCACTATAGATCGAGTCCTAACAGAGTCTTTTAAAACACTGATGCCTACTATTATGTTTGGAAACAATTTTTCTCTCTTTTCAAAGTCTCTTCATTTCTTTCAAATTTGATTTTTTAAAAATCTTTCTAAGAACATACATTAAAAATGCCCATCTAGAAGGAAAAGCTATAACTAGAAAGCTTCTCTTTTTGATAAAAGATATCCATATGTTGATTTATATAAGCTTTTCAGTTTTCAATAACTGAACAAAATTGCCAGCAAAATGTTTCATATTCCTAGGTTTTGTTACATGACCAATGAATAATACATTTTCTTCTCAAACAGCTAGAATAAACTTGTGTATTGTTCTTCTAGTGCTACAAAAATCACTGGGGATAAAAAAACAACTTGTTCAAAAACATGATGTTGATCTGCTTTGTTTGCTAAAGCTTTTGCCTAGTTCAACAGTTCTGCAATTCAGCTTTGCCTGAACATATCAGTAGTGCAATGACTCGACGTTTACCGCACAATAGTTCTGCTGTTTTTCTTTGTAAAAGATTCAAGAATCTTGTACATCCATCCATCTAGCATGCCTATTACACACAACAAATATCAACATGTCAGTATGTTCGACTACATATTGAAGATTTCTGACAGAGGCTGAATAACAGTTGGATTTCTTCTGCAAGAAACAATTTGCAAGGGAAATGCCAGCCAAGAAAAAGACTTGAAGACGATATAAGCCAAAAACATCAAGTGGTTTGTCAATTCATAACCAGAAAGACTTCTTAGTAAGTGGTAATAAAGAGAAACTATCCCAATCCAAATCAGCATAAAAAATGGCATTGTACTTTGATAACAGGAAATGATATCAAAACCTAGTCACTTCCAGATGCTCTGGTCTATAAAGTATAGGCAAATGGTCAGAACAAAAACAAAGTTTAAACAGAGATTCCTTGCATGAGATCGGGGAAATAGAGAATCAAACACTTGCTTGAGACTATTGGAGAAGGATTTCCCCGTAGGAATTATCATAGTTCTTTATTAATGGGTAATCAGGAATAATAAAGACAAGCCCAAGACTTAAATTTCTCACACCAGACATATCTCAACACTTTTCGTGCACCTGGGAAAATGATTTTTCACTTCTTCACGGATATTCAAGTCAAGAGCCTTCGGTTCAATTAAATGAGGAACATTTCGACTAGAAGTGTGAAACAAATTAGCAGGGACTTATGGCTTATAAGTGGTTTTCACCTTTATTAAATCATACAGCGAAGTATTAAAGGCAAACCTGTCAAGGCAAATGTACCACCCAACACTGCACAGAGCCGAGTGATGAAGTGCAGAAAACTGCGACGTTCTTCTCTGATGGTCACGGTAATTGGTGACAGATCATATAAGAAGTATACAGCTGCATAAAGCGGCAAAAGACACTCAGTGAAAAATGAAATACAGCAAGAGGAAAAGGGAGAAGAAGAGCAGAGACTCACCTGGCCATGTCCGTTCAAAATCATGGATGGGAGAAAAGTACTCCGTTACAGAAAATTGATTAGTTGGTAAAACTTCTTTTGATATGTATCTATACTCAGTTGGAACAACCTACGTGACAAAAACCAGAACGTAAAAATATGGAAGCACGAGAGCACATCCAAAAGAAAAATATCATTATGACTCAAGACTTGTCTTCACAAGGAAATCCAATTAAGCAAACCTTGATGCATGTTTCAACTAATGTTTCTTGCCAACAGTGTTAGATTGTGTGAACGTCTCATCTAGTCTAATCTTGTTATAAAGGAGACATACCTATTTCGACTCTACAACACACTTCCTCATGTCTTCATTTCTTACCTTTATCCGGACACATGGAATTAATTGTGTTGAGTGGCAGCAAGACTTGAACAAAGCCCTCTTAATTTTGTAAATTGTCCCATCTAGGAGTTCAAGTCGCTAGAGAGGAAACACTTTATTTGTTTATTATAGATTTGCCACCCTACATGGTTTAGAGCAGGTTGGCCTAGTGGAGAGGATCTTTAACCTCCAACCATGAGGTTACTGGTCCAAGGTCATCAAGGAATAAAAAAGTGGAAAAAGCCACTGCTGGCCCATGGGACAGGATTTCAAAAAGAAGAACAAATTTACTTCTTTTTTTTTCACACTGGTGGCCAACAATTGCAGATATTTAGCCTCGGTGAAGAACAAGATAATTAGGTCCCCACATTACAGGAAAAGAATATATCATACACCACAAAATAATCCAGACAAATTACAGAAGCATTCAGCCATAAATACAAGTTAGTTCTTTCTATCACTTAAAGAAAGTTGCTCAAGTTTGTTCATTCCACCACTTTAAGAAAGTTGGTCAAGGCTCCTTATGTTTAAAAGGAAAAATAAGAAAGAAAGAATGGTCCAAGGCTTTGTTGAAACACTCTATGCAATGTATTCAAAATAAAAACTAAATTAGATCTCCACAAACCTTAATGTAATATTTGAATGTGCCACTTGTTCCACGCAGAATTCGTGATGTTCCATCTAGCGGGTTGTGAATACCTGGATATTTGGGCCCAAATGATAACTCATGGATGATATGGCTTACATTGACATGAGTGGACTTTTCAAAAATCTGCATTTTCAAAGGATGCAAATAAGAGTGAGCAAATACTCTGGAAGAAGAGAAACAGTAATACTTAAAGGCTATTCTCTGAACGCTGCTGTAAAATGCAACCTTTGAGTAGAACTTCATGTACTTCAGAATATGGGTTAAAATAAAAATGAAATCAGCTTCTGCACTCGGACCAACTTCAGAAATATGGTATTGCTAATTTCTCTAAACTTGTTTCACAAAATATTTAGAAACTCACTGTACAACTTCCTTAATATGGTATTGCTAATTTCTCTATACTTTTTTCACAAACTATCATAGATCAAAAGACGAGCAAAATCAGAAAAGTAGCTTCAGCACAATCTTCCTTTTGTCATGCATAAGTTCAAAATAACTAGCAAGTTGGATTGAATCAGAGCTTTCACTTTACTTGAACCACCAATATATAACTTGATAGAACACCGGAAGCCGACGAAAAGAACTGTCTTAACTCTCCCACCTTTGGGAGGGTTATTGCCCTAGTTTCTTAGACGAACTCCTTTTATCATCTTCCAATTATACCGCCCTAATTTCAAGGATCACAACTGCTTACACAATTTGACCTCATAGATACCTTAGAATGGGACAAAGTTCAATGCAATAGTGCATACTTTCCAACAGTTATAGTGTATTCCCATCAAATCTATAAAAATTATAAAATATCAACAGAGCTGACCATTTGAGCAACAAAAATGTTCAACCCATGAACGGATAGATGGAAATTCCCAGCAACCCTCTGGACATCTAAAATGCCATACACCTGCACGCAACAATGTCAGCATCAGTTGGTGCAACACTGCTATCGCTTAGTTAGCCAAAGTGGCAGCATATTTTAGGCCCAAAGTGAAAAAGATAATGGGGGATGGGGGATGGGGGCAGGGGGAATGACAATACAAGAACAAGCATAATACAAAGCAACCAAAACATACCCTGCATCCTTCCCCATCAGCCAATGCTTGCTTAACCTTCTTGATCATATTTTGAGATTCTTCATCAATGCCCTGTAGATGGATCTTGTCTGAATCTTCATGATGTTCTTTGTGTGCATCTGGTAAAAATTGTTACTTAAAACCATGTTATCAATTTGTAGGAGATTAATACTCAGTTGTGTTATGCAAGCTAGATCACAAACTAATCAACTGATATATCCAAACAAATGGAATTTCTCAAGTTATTTGTGCTTTGTAAGTTGGATCCATTTATCCGATTCCAGAAAGAGAGAATTTGATAGAAGTCACTAAGGTGTAACCAAAGCTCTTTATATTTGTCAAGAAATTAACATTAACATGATCAACAGACAAGGCCATACTAAGCAGGTTCAAGGCAAAAGTATACCAGTGTACAACTTGGACTCGGATAAAGAGAAACAGAGAGTTAAGCTAATGCTACTACCCAAATGCAGAAGAACCAAATGCATTACCATGTTTATGAGCTTCATGTTCCTTCTCAACAAGGTCTGACAAATACTCAGTGCCAGTGATATGGCCATCACTGTTCAAGCGAAGCTGCAAAAACTCTCAAACTTAATTGCCAAAAAAGGCATGAAAAAAAAAAGGATACGCCTGGGCATGCATACACTATAGAGTATAGATTGATTCTGAAAACAAATGCCAATTTGTAGACAAAGAAAATTGTAAATACTATAAACATGAAATAGAAGACAAATAGCAAATATCTTCATAATTTGCTTCAATGTTACAAAGCTTGCAAGGATAAGTTGTAAATACTATAAACATGAAATAGAAGACAAATAGCAAATATCTTCATAATTTGCTTCAATGTTACAAAGCTTGCAAGGATAAGTTCGCTTGACTAACAGAATGAAACTGGGAAGGTGTGGATGCCGAGGTACACCTATTCAGATTTGTAAGATTTAAGACTTCCAGAAGTTCTAGCCTGCTAATACCAAGTTAAGAATAGAAATGTTGGGTGAATTACACTGACATTCCTAATTGCCAGGTTACAACAAGAGACCAGGTAGGGAACTATAATAAGCGTCCTACATATTGTGAGGCATTACATTTTTTCTTGGGAAAACTACAGCAGAGTTGTAATTTACTAGTACAAGGCCTCTACCGCCTCTCTCATTTTCATAACTACACTACATCTCTTAAGCTTATAAGTTATTGGTATTTCGGAAAAACCATCCACACAAAATGTTTCCTGCTTAGTACTGCTAAAAGATCCTTAACACTTTTACGAACAATCCAGCTTACGAAGCTACTGACATAATATAAAGTTATAAGCCAATATGAACTGTTAATGGGAAATACAAGAAAAGTAAAAAGGTCAATTGTGATAAGTAATTTTGAAATTGTAGAGGAGGATAAGTAATTGTGACAAACTAGAATTGGCATCAAAGTATCTTACCCACAATCGAAACATGCATAAGCAATGCTGCAAGTCATAAACATCAAAACTGAAGACATTGTATATTTGTTAAATTTTTTAGATGCCACTGTATAGTACCGATGACAAGATTGCAAGTTTTGGATACAATAAAGTCAAACCTCCCCCCCTCCCCCCCACACACACAAAAAAAAGAAAAGAGAACCAGTGACTAGATAACCAGTAAATTTAGAAATATTTCTTAGAAGAAAACAAACAAAAACTAAAGTGAAATCCAAAAATATAGTAAAAACAGAACAATCCTTTTCTTCTTCCATTTCCCTGACACGCTAAAAAAAGGTAGAAAAAGAATCGATATATGACAAACTAGAAATAAAACTTATGTTTACAATACTTTTGACTGGGAAGGCACCAGAATAATTGTGTTGACTATTGTAGGTCTGATAACATTATAACAAATTGATTCATCCCATAAAACTTAGTCTATCTAAGGCATAAAAGTTTCTTTAACTAGAATCCAACAACATTAACATTATGATCCCAGCCTCTTTTTCTTTTGAAACAGTAAGAAACACAATTTACTAAAACACGCAACAATCTAACCATGTTATGCATTACCCTGTGCCTGTAGTACAAAACATTCTCGTTTAGTTTTCAGTTCGATGAGCAGCGAAATTTGTTCATTAGTCACAATAGACCAATTACCTTCCATATGTTTGTATCAAGATCTACTTCATGCTTCCCCGACATATCAATAGCATCCACACTAAGAACTACCAAAAAGAATAAATTGATCAACCGCTGAAACATTACGAAAAAAATATTAACAAAGAAAAGGCAAACTCAAATTAAAATAAATAAACAAATACGGACAGCAAGTAGAGAATATTGACTACCATCACAAGGTAGAGAGGGAAATGTCATATTTATGTGAATGGGAAGATTTTCTCCACGTCTCGAGTCTACAGACATCTGCACAGATGAAATTCACAGCACAAACTTCAAATGAGATAGACTAAGCTAAACCTGAAGAAGATTTCATCAAATAGATGTAAACTACCTGATGAACAGTATATATATTAAGATAGTAACTCAGTTCATGCAAGAACAATGTTACCATAATTAGCAGCCCCACAATGGAAACTGGTAATTAAAAAGAAGAAAGAGTAAAGTTAGTAAAGGAATGAAACTCAAGTAAAATACAGACACAAAATAAGCGAGAAATCTTCTACATGTTCATCCAAAAGTAATGCTAAATCGGTGAAAATGTTAGAGAGAATTGCCTATGATATGTCACAGTAACGCTCGGGTAAAGGTAACACAGATAACACACAAATATGTAGCGTTTAGCACCAATCAAGTAAAGATCAACTTCACTTTTCATCCACATAAATAGTAGGGCATTCACCATCAATAGGTTGCATCCTCGTAAACTGTTACTTGCAAAGTAGCTATCTTTTTCTATTATTAACATTCCAATCATCATGAAAATATGAGAAAAACAATTGGGGAGGGTGGCAGATAAGGAGTGGAAGTTCTGCTACTCAACAATAATCAAGTGTCATGGTCATCTAGTGACTAAGAAAAGCCAGTAATTCAAATATCTAATACTCTCATCTGTAGAACATGAAAAGTTACATATCAAACGAGTTCCAATAGCTGATGAATAAATCTACCTAAAATCAGCTAAAGCATCTCCAATATCTAACTGATTTTCTCATTCTTTTGGGATTAGCTTCCTCAATTGATGTTCCAAGGATTGCGTACTGGAATCAAGCCAATAACTCAGAAGCAAGTGGTTCCATACGCCATATCCATCGAATAATCCTTTGGCAAGGAATCTGTGGAGGAAAATCGACGGTAGACCAAGAACAAGGCCAAGTGCTTGTGGGACAAGGCCATATGGTTTCTACTTTCTAGTAGGAGGAATGAGTTTGAGAAATTAGAAAGTAAAGTGCCTGAATTTCAAGGCAATACTCTAGATAATAGAGAGAACAATTGATGAACACATCATTCGCCTATTCTCCACAACTATCAGGCATGCACCTCTTCAAACCAATATCAACCAAAACTCCATATATTTGATGAAGCTGGAAAGTGTAATTAAGAATTAAACCCATCCTCTAACAATGAGCCAAGAGTGTACTAAATAATTGTTGGATTAAAGTTTTAATGTTTTGCTATGAGAATATTTTGTAGAATAAGAGTAGTCACAAATCATGTCATCTGAATTATATTATCAAAAACTAAAGAACCAAAGAGAAAGAAATCAAAGATGGCCAAAGCATAAAGGTGAAACTGTAACTAACACTCACAAGGATAAATAGAACTTTTCAAGACATTTCGTTTCTGAACAGCAATCATACAAAGAAAAAGGTTACTACTTTATTCGAAGGCTTAAAATGTTCTCTTATAATCATTTCCTAAGTTTGATGATCACATAGAAACTAGCTCGTGATCATCCAAATAAATACAAAACAATTCCTAGGTTCCCACATAAAGTGAATAGAAGAGTAAGACTGAATACATGGAATTGATCACTTATGAGTTATGCCTCTATATGAATTCTAGAACAAGCCCATTACAGTAAAAGCAGTTAAGAATGCAGAGAATCAATCAACTATGCCTCATTCTCACATTAGTTAAGGTTGAATATAAGATTCCTCTCTATTCATTCCACTCACAAAGGTAAATGAAACCTTTCAAGACTTTTCGTTTTTGATCAATTATGCCTCAATCGCAAATTGGTTGGATCAGCTGTATTAAGTCGTGGAACCAACCACTAATATTGTCTACATCACATCCCTTGGGATGCGACCCTTACCCGAACACTGTTAACGCGGGATGCATTGTACACCAGTCTGTCCTTTTTAGCAATATGAATTCTAGATGCAAGCCTATCTCATTAAAAACAATTACGAATGGATAGTGAGAACCAATAAACTATTCCTCATTCTCAAATTAGTCAAGGTTGGCTATAGCAATCATCTCTATTCATTCCACTTAATGCAGGTCCATTTCGTAAACCAAAAAAAAATCACAAAAATAAAAAGGACTAAGATCAAATACCGAAGGCGCTAAACTTGGTTTTCTGCAACAAATGTTCTTCAGCTCGCGGAAATGCATCAATAGCTCTTAATGCTTGCTTCACACCCATTTTTTTTCTCCTTTATTTCCAAGATTTGATAATGCTGTTCCAAATGTATCAAATTTAAAACATCTTAAAGTTGAAAAACACAAGAAATTCATAGGCTTTCATATTTTATTTTTAAAAAAATGGGGGTTGGAATGGGAAATCAGGAGGGGAATCAAACATTCACCAACGAGGTGAAAACTAACGTAGTCAATCAACTGAGCTACTAAGATTTCCCCGAGCTTTCATTTTTATCCATCAATCAACCAATCAATTTAACAAATGAAACATCCATTAATTTATTTTTTTTGCTCTAATCAACCCCAATTCATTCAAAATCCCAACTTTACTTGTAATTAACTAGTCATTTTGCTCAAATTAAACCCAATTTAGGAAACAAAGCTAAAATTCATCATTTATAAGAAATCGAAACGAATTACACATAATCCAAAAAATGAATTAGCTTTACCCAATGCCCTGCTACATTTTAGAGAGAGAAAGTACCTATAATGTAGAGAGAGAATGTACCCGGAAAACGAGATTCCGATCTCCGGCGCTTCTCATAAGAGGAAACAATAGAAGTCCGACAGAAAATAAGAAATTACGATAAAGCCAGATTAAAAAGGTAAAATAATTTTGTTGACTACTTTCTAGCTGCTATTTAATACTCGGCGTTCACTTTTAAGTTCTTTTGGTACGAGAGTAATTAATTTATACTTAATTGAATTAAAATCACGAATAATTTATCTTGAATTAGTTATTTCATATTACTCCCTCCGTCTCATTTTATATGTCATCTCTTTCTATAAATAGTTGATCTATAATACTTGTCATTTCATAAAATCAATGCATAAATTACCATATTGTTCCTTTTTTACCCTGGTGAGTTATTAGCCTTGAAAAAAGATAAATTAGATCAACTTAGAAAAACTAAGTAAATGACTCATGTTCCTTGGTTAAATTAATTAATCAAAATAAATTAATTCATATTTATTGATTGAAACTTCGAGTTCCAAAAAAATTAAATAAGAGTAGAAGGGTAAAGTTACATCATTTCTTCACGCAAGTGCAAAGTAAAAAAGTGACGTATAAAATGGGACGGAGGGAGTATATCGATCACACACTCAAAATAAAATAACTCATATCGAAATAACTTGTTTCCACTTTTCTAACCAAACGACAAGATGAATTAACAATCTTGAAAATAACTCATTTCGAAATAATTTATTTTCTAAGCAAATAAATAAATTTAATTTTTTATCTTGCTTTTACTTTAGTTTTTTATATTCGGTTCAATTTTTTTTTAGTTAAGATTTTGATATAAGTTCTTTTAAATATATTTTTATTTTAATAATATATAATAAGTATTTAATATTTCTCTCTATAAAATATAAAAAGAATCATTACATTATATTAAAATATACTCCTAACATTAATAAAAATAAAAGTTATGAAATGCATAAATCAAACCAGAAATAATGAAAATAAACATAATTTAAATTAATTCATATTATTTAAAAGGGAAAATGGTCTGAAAAATACTTCAACTTTAGCCGAAATTGTTGTTACGATATCAAATTTTATGAAGGACCTTTTACCCTTGCACTATTTAATAGTCTATTTTAAATGTATATTTGTGCTCACGTGGATACATTATTATTTATAATGATGCAATATTTATGATGTCCACGTGGGCATATATATACCTTTAAAATATACTATTAAATAGTGCAGAGGGGTAAAAGGTCATTTTCAAAGTTCGATATCGTAACAATAATTTCGGTCAAAATTTAAATATATTTCAGACTTTTTTCCCTATTTAAAATCGAGAAAAAAGATCTCCACGTATATTATTGATTTTGTTTTATTTTAATTTGACTTCTTAATTAATATCAAATTAAACAAATTATAACTTCTTTTTTTAAATATCAAACTAAATTACTAATCTCTTTATTCCAATTTAATTTTTTGATTTTCTTCGAACATTTCTATCAAAATTTTATTTATTTTAATATTCATAAGTTATCGTGATTATATATCTAATGAAATTTCATACGTAAAGTTTGAGAAGATAAAGTATTTTACACATTTTATCGTTATTTTATAAAGATAGAGAGTTTGTTTTCCAGTAAAATAAGAAAACATAGCAAAAATATATATACTAAAAATAAAATAAGTCACCTTCTCCACCATTTTTCTTCACAACAATATGCCCTTCAACTGAAACCGCCATTAACAAAAGCTTCGAATAGTCAGTCATATTTCTCTTTTATTTTTTTAAATCTTTTTTGTATTACCTCTTTAAATCCATATTTTGGTTACTCATCTAAATACCGAGAAATAAGAGGGAAAAGTACAATTTTTTATAATTATTTTTTGGTTTTGGGTAATATCCATTACAAATTCAGTTTTTTTTTTTCTCTTTTTGTATACCCATTTTGATCTGAAGCGTTAATTAATTTCTGGGTGTTGAAGATTTCAAGCGAATCTATTGTGGTAATATTTTTTTTTTGATATTTATTTGTGTTTTGTTTGATTCTTGATTTATTGATATTGGGAGTTTGGTGTAACTGTAAGTATTTAGTATATGTTTGAATTTATTCATTGGAAGTTAATGATTATTTGTCATTTGGCTTTTTATTTATTTTTCTAGTTGATTGATGTAATCTGCTTATCAATTAAAATGATTATACTTTTGAAGAACTTAAATACTGCTTTTTATGCTAATTTCGAAGTTTATGAGTTTGTATATAGTAAAATGTGTTTCTGTATTAGCTTGGGGACAAAAAGTTTACTCATTGTCATAGATATGGGATTGAAGGGCGCGAAATGGATAGAGACGATTCATAGAGCCGATCCTTTTTAGTTCAGGATTGACGTGCAATAGTCAATTAAAGTCTTTTCCTAGCAGCTGATTATAGGTTCACGTGAACCAGTAGCTTTTGCTAAGATGACAACAACAACATACTCAGTATAAATCCCATAAAGTGGAGTCTGGGGGAGGGTAGAGTGTACGCAGACCTTACCTCTACCTTAGAGGTAGAGAGGTTGTCTCCGATAGACCCTTGGCTTAAGGGATAGCTTCTGCTAAGACTTTATATAAATATTAAAATCTACTAAAATATTTTGAGTGATTGCTTAAGGTCGTTATAGTAACCATAAATTTCAAATCTTGGTTCCGTCTCTGGTAGTTGATTTACCTTAATGAACTAGAAACTACAATGTGTTGGCCTTTTCTGACCACAGATTGCATTAATTTTAATGAAGTGAACACTTAGTTCCAGATTGAGGCATAATAGTTAATTAAAGTCTTTTCCTAGCAGCTGACAAGAGTGGATTTAGAGGCTAATCTTGGTTCCACCTCTAGCAGCTGATTTACCTTAATGAACTAGACATTACAATGTGAGGGCCTTTTCTGACCATAGATTGCACTAAGTTTGATGAAGTGAACACTTAAATCTGTTGTTGGATTGTTTGGTTAGTTACTTATCAAATTTCTATAGTTGGATCACTAGCCGTAGTAGTTGCTGGTGTGGATTATGTTTATGACTTTCAAGTGGAGTGGAAGTTAAGTTATTTAGCATGCGATACTAGATGCAACTGGAAATTAGAGGAGCATAACTATTGAAAATTAGTCATTGTTGATCATTGTTGCAAACATAAATTGACACATACAACAGCCTAGTCTAGATGATCTTATATTTTTAATAAAGAGGTGGCACACACACTTCAACTTGGTATCAGAGGAAGCAGAGGTCATGAATTCAAGTATGTCTGGCACTTGTAAATAAAACATGTTTTTACCTACTTGGCCTAAGAAAAAAAATCATGTCTACCCATGATTGACCGTGTCGCAGGCCTTATTGAAGAAAAAAAAGGAAAATGTCCTCTCTCTAATAGGTTAAGCTTCTAGATGACATTCAACCATTTCTAGAAAACATTTAACCTTTTCTGCTCAAAACTATTCAACAGAATTTTGTGCATGATGTAGGGTATGGATGGGGAAGTGAAACTTGACACACAGATCATTCCTAAGAAAGAAAGTTTTAAGTATCTTGGGGCTATAATCCAAGGAAGCGGTGACATTGACGATGATGTCACACATCGCATAGGGGCTGCTTGGATGAAATGGAGGCTTGCTTCTGGAGTCTTGTGTGATAAGAAAGTTCCACCTAAACTTAAAGGTAAGTTCTACAGAGTGGTAGTTAGACCGGCCTTGTTGTATGGAGCGGAGTGTTGGCCAGTCAAGAACTCACATGTTCAAAAATTGCATGTTGCGGAGATGAGGATGTTGAGATGGATGTGTGGGCACACTAGGAGCGATAAGATTAGGAATGAGGTTATCCGGGAGAAGGTGGGAGTGGCTCCTGTGGTGGACAAGCTGAGGGAAGCGAGACTGAGATGGTTTGGGCATGTGAAGAGGCGGAGCGCAGACGCTCCAGTGAGGAGGTGCGAGGGGCTGGTGGTAGAGGGTACGCGGAGGGGTAGAGGTAGGCCTAGGAAGTATTGGGGAGAGGTGATTAGACAGGACTTGGCTCAGCTTCACATCACCGAGGACATGACTCTAGATAGGAAGGAGTGGAGGTCGCGTATTAAGGTTGAAGGTTAGTAGGGTTAGCAGGTTGTCTTTCCTTGTGAGGGTATGGTTTGGTAGGGTTTGTAGTAGTCCTAGCCTGACACTTGTAGTTCTTGTCTGTGATCCTATAGTCATTTGTTGTTTACTGCGCTTCGCCTCTCACAGCACTTGCTTGATGTTATTGTCTCCGTTGTTGATTATGCACCTTTTTCTCTTATTGGATGTTATGTTATATATAATGTTTCCTCTCCTCTTGCTTGGTTTGGATGTACTTGAGCCGAGGGTCCACCGGAAACAGCCTCTCTACCTCCACGAGGACCGAGGTAGTGATAAGGTCTGCGTACACTCTACCCTCCCCAGACCCCACTTTGTGGGATTTCACTGGGTATGTTGTTGTTGTTGTTGTTGTCAACTCGTGTACAGTTCTGCATTTCAAATGAGAGAGATATTGTTATTTACTCCAGCTCATTGTGGGTGTATTTTGTGTCCTCAAGTCATTCTTTGCATGGGCGGGCTAGACTCTTGTCAGTCGCTGTGCAATGACCTAACAAGTTGACAGTGGCTAATGAACTTCGGATGTTTACTTTAACTATACTTTTAAGATAGATAGTTCAACATCTTGGATGGTGTAACTTAAGCATCAATTAGCCCTACTGAGAGGATATGAAGTGAGGAAGAGACACTGATGACAAAGTTTGATGAAAGTATAACTTGTGTGTTTGTGTGTGTGCAGACACGCACTCAAACACATGCCTTAGTTTTGTATTCCCTTGTAGGGTCAGGGATTGAAGTTTGTTTATTTGTTGCTAGTTTCTTATTCTGGCTTGGTAGGCAGCAATAACTGGGAATGCTACCTGTTTGGGGCTGATAACCAAAGGCTGATTGTGTATACAAAAAAGAGTGAAGGATTATGTATGAGAACTTATTCAAAATGGAAGAAAAGAAAAAGTAATAAAAGAATCTATGTATTGAACTTTATCCCAAAAAGGAAAAAATAATCTATGTTGGCGAACTAAATTAGAAAAAAGAAGAAGAGTGATATTAGAAGTGGGCTTTTCATTTTACATGGATTTGTGGAAGGAAGGAAATATGTAAGTTGTTCAACAGTTTGATATTTATATTTGGATAATTTTTTTAAAATTATGAAATCTGATAAAAAAGGAAACTTAAACATCCAATTTACGCTAGTTCTTGACTAAGCATTTAATTCAGTCTCTTCCCACCCTCTTTTTTTTCTCCCGTTTTGCCTTCATTGGTGTTTGAATACAATATTGTAACCTTGTTTATGGATATTTTTCTCTTGTTATTGCTTTGTACATAGGTCTCACGCTCTTGACATTCAATTTGGGCTTAAGCAAGAAGAACAAATTTGTATTAGAAACAATTTCTGGTATGTCACACGGTCAAGAAAAGTTGTTTGATCTTTTAACGGCATTTTACTTAGTGAATGTCCTTAATTGCAAACTTCTGTGGGGTTAGGCGATGGTGGGGAGCTCTTTGCCAATTGTAACTGGCAGCATTGGATTGTTTTGAGCTATGTTACTCAGACTCTTCAAAATCCTTGCCGCACCCGTGTTGGCATGACATGGGTGTGGGATCCACACTTGATTTGCTTAACTTACCTTGGGTGCTTTGACTACATCTATGACCGAGAAGTATAGATTGATTAGGTATTTGGCTCGATTTTTGGGTTTATAGCATATATACGTAGTTACATAAAGCATGAGAATGCTTTGCTATTACACGAGATATTTTACAAATAAAAACTATTAGGTGTTTATAAAGAATTAAATTGTATTAGTTTCAGTGTCATAGCTTTAATTAATCGAGATGTATACTTTGTATGTCAAAGTATACATTTATTGTCCATACTCCAACACCCATATTCACATTCAAATTAGTGACCCCGAATCTCAAAACTTATGTGATGAAGAATCTGACCTTTAGATTCACACCCGTATTGGATATCCACACCCAAGTCCGAGCAATTTAAGTTTTGAGAGTGCATTCAACAAAAATGTTTAGTATAAAATAGATTGAAGATGATGTGAATGTGAGATGACTTTTAACCTATACTCTTGTTAAATCAGTTTGTGTCTTTCACCTCTCCCTCTCCGTCCCTGTCTCCCTCTTCCTCTACCTCTACCTCTACCTCTCCGCACCGATCTCCCTCTTCCTCTACCTCTCCGCCTCCGTCTTCCTCTCAATTTCATTTTTCATATCTTCGATTCATTAAAGCAAGTAATCCTCTACTTAAATTTTTTCTTGTTATGCTCTTTACAACTTTATTGATTGTATGTTCTTTCCTTTCCTGGTGTTATGCAGGTAGTCGTGTTTTTTCCTTTGAAGGATTGAGATCGTGATCTCAACTCTCAGATCTGTTTATGCATCTGCTGTTACATATGGGCTGAGATATATATTTCATGGGAGGTGCAGAGGATGATGAACCACTCTCAAAACGTGTGAAAGTATCATTTGGAGAATCAGCTGATCGTTCGAACGGGACATTTCTTAGGGATCCTGCAAGCTTCCCATTGAGTGACTTGATGGTTCGTCCTCTGGAATTTCAAGGGGACGATGAGATTGTTGGTAGAAAAGGAATAGTCAAGAAAGTTGAATTAGTTCAGATCATAGCCGAGGCGTTATATTCTCTTGGCTATAAGAAGGCGGGGGCGCAGCTAGAGGAAGAGTCAGGGATACCTTTGCACCCCTCTTTAGTAAATTTATTTATGCAGCAAATCCTTGATGGGAGATGGGATGAAAGTATAGCCACGTTGCATAAAATTGGTCTTGTGGATGAAAAAATTGTGAAGTTGGCATCTTTTATGATACTGGAGCAGAAGTTCTTTGAACTGTTAGACAGAGAAAAAGTCATGGATGCTTTGAAGACATTGAGGACTGAAATTGCACCTCTTTGCATAAATAGCGATAGAGTCCGCAATCTTTCGTTGTGCATTCTATCACCTTCACAACAGGTTGTCTCTGGGGAGTCAGGTCCAGAAATAATGAAAATAAAATTAAGGACAAAACTACTAGAAGAACTGCAAGGACTGTTTCCCACAACAGTCATGCCTCCCGAAAAAAGATTGATCCATCTGGTTGAACAGGGGCTTGAATTTCAACTGGGGTCTTGTTCTCTTCACAACTCATTAATCAATGACATGTCGTTGCTCACTGATCACCATTGCGGAATAGATCAGATTCCATCTCAGACTTTGCAGGTTAGATCACATTTGAGTCTTGATACTTGTTTAACCTGCAAGCATTATCATTCCAGGATTGGTTGTCAGTTAATTGCATTATTAATCACCTAATAACTTATTCCATCTGTGTTTAAGTTTATATATCAGAGATAGGTCTGAGGTGATGTGTTGTTGATGAAGTTTTGAGTTTGTGCTTTCTATTGTGTAAACTTTTGGTTATTCCATAATTAATTGTGCTATCATTGTGTCATTTGTGTTTTTCCTATATTTTATTCAGCAAAAGTACAAGTATGTGTATAAGGGTATCACTGTGGTGCCTCAATTCAAGCTTGTATTGTAAAATTATACTATAATCAGGAATAAGTAGAATTTATCCAGTTTCATCTACTCTAGACCTCTTTTGTGTCTGTGATAGAAGTCTAGGCATATTGCTGTCTTCCCAACGATAATCCTTCTACAATACTGTAATATCCCTTCCTTGCCTTTGCTGGAATGGAGGGAAAATGTGAAGTCTAAGATTCATATAGTAAACAACATGTACAGTGTCAATAGATAAGAACTACACAGTTATTCCACTATAGTGTTCTTCTCCTTCATTCTGTCATTTTGGATTCATCTTTTAGACGTTCTAAATTTGAATGAGACCTGTGGAAGTGGGTTATTGATTATCTTCCGTAGATATCAAAAAGAAAGTATGCCCATGTATTTCCCCGTCCTTGAGAATGATGCAGAAAAGTTTGATATGTGACGACTTGGTTTGAGTTTTTCTTGTAGTGTCCTTGTATAGAGCTTGATTGCATATATTCCTCATACACAGGTTTTTTTTTCCTTCTTTTAACAATGATATCATTGACTTGACTATGATTGGTAGAAGGGCTTAGATCATTTTTTTGGTTGTTGAGAATGAAGGGGTTTAGATCAATTATTAAAAGCTGAAAGTAAAAGAAATAACAGAAGGGTTTGTTGATCACGTTGAGCTCTAATCCTTTCTTCATTGTTTGTCGTGCACCAGATTTTAGAAGGACACAAAGATGAAGTCTGGTTTTTGGAGTTCTCTCATAACGGGAAATACCTAGCCTCGTCATCTGCGGATTGTTCAGTAATTATATGGGAGGTAAGTTTAAGTGCTCTTAAATATTGCTCAATAGATTTTTGCTTTATCAAAAGTCCTCTTGACTATTGCTTGTCATATCCTCTATTAATATTTTTAATTGAACTTTTCTCCATTGTATTTCTTCTCTCTTTGCACCCGATGCCATAATTTTCTTGCATGACCTTTATCTTTTTGCTTTAACTAATAATTTCAGAAAAAAGTAGCACTGTTTTTGCTTCACTTTTCCATGCAGTGCCACAAATGGAATGTTTCTTTTTTGTAGATTCCACTGATGTATCTTTAGTATGACAGTAGAAAGTCCTTCGTCCATTTCCATAACTGATAAACCTTTAGAGAGAGTAGCTCCTCTTCCTCTCCAGAACTCTAACAATACCAACTTCTTTCTTTTTCATCATCACACTAGCTATCTTTCCTAATTCCTTTCTGAGTGTCTTCTTTCCCATGTTAGTCTTAACGAGATAACCATATCCTCAGCTATTTTTACCAATACATCTTTATGATTAAGTCTTGCTTCCCAAATGATTCTCAGTTCATTCATATTTTATCTATCCCACAATACCATTTAAACATTGTGTAACATTCATTCTCTGACCTAAAGAATCCTATTATAGGTATATATGATTTTACAGTTCAGAGAACAAGGGAAAAGTGAGCTATAATTGCTGAAAATATGAATTTTAATGGTAGATTTGACTGACGATTTAAGTTCACCTCTCAATTATTTGCCCTTTTGCAGGTGAAGTTGGATGGAAGGTTATGCTTGAAGCACAAAGTTCTTGGTCATGAGGAACCTGTGTGCTTTATATCATGGAGCCCTGATGACAGTAAGCTTCTCACCTGTGGAGTGGAAGAGGTCGTTAGACTGTGGGATGTAGACTCCGGTGAGTGTAGACATCTTTATGAGAAAAATGGTCTTGGTTTGATTTCGTGTGGATGGGCTCCCGATGGGGAAAGGATATTTTGCGCTGTTACTGACAAAAGCATTAGCATGTGGGATCTTGAAGGGAAAGAGCTGCAGTGTTGGAAAGGCCATCGGGTTACTAAAATAGCTGATTTGGGGATAACAAGTGATGGGAAACACATGGTCTCTGTTTGTAAAGATAATGTGATACTGTTAGTTGGATTGGAATCAAAAACAGAGCAAATAATTCTAGAGGATGAAGTAATAACTTCATTTGTATTGTCCGCAGACGGTAGATACATATTGATAAGTCTGTTGAATCAAGAAATCCATCTTTGGAGTATAGATGGGATTATAAAACTCTTACACATCTATAAAGGCCATAAGCAAAAACGCTTCATCGTAAGGCCTTGCTTTGGTGGACTTCGTCAAGCTTTCATCGCCAGTGGAAGTGAGGATTCACAGGTACTTCTTTCGTTGATTGAGAAGCCAAATCTTTTTGTTATTATGATTTGTATGCTTAGTTGAACATTCAAGCAATTTGACAATCTACTGTCATCAAATTAGACAGGCATCTTTTAAGATGGTTTTTGACCGCAAATGCATCTTTTTCATGACCAGAATAGAAACTTCCTTTTTCTACATCAGGAATACGGTAGTTGTGTTTTTGACCCTTCGCTCTTTTTTATTAACAATCAAAATTTAAGGTTCAAGATCAGCCCGTGACAACGTCCTGCTTTTTTTTTCTTTGTTTATGCTTTGACGTCTTTATTGTCCTGGAAAGAATACTTTCTTAATGATATATCCGGGGGAGAGAAATTGATCTTGACCTAATACCATATTTCAGGTATATATATGGCACAGATGCTCACAACAACTCCTCGGGAAGTTAGCTGGACATGCTGGGACTGTCAACTGTGTTAGTTGGAACCCAGCAAATCCTCATATGCTGGCATCAGGAGGTGATGATCGGACCATTCGCATATGGGGCTTGAATCCTGCAAACGTGATGAAGCACAATGACGAGGGAGCTGTAAGTAATGGTGTGAACGACTGCAATTGCAGAACGTGAAGTCTTGGAGGTGAATGAGCGAGTGAGTCGTTACAAGATTTCTCTCCATAACCAGTTGCTTTCGATGTATAATCTCTTGCATCATTAAGCTAAACATTTGAGACAAACAAGAATGTACAATTTGCATTCAGTCCAGAAATAAATGTTGAACTTCTCCATCTCTCTCTCTCTCTCTTTTTGGTTGATTTCCTGTGGGTTCCTGTTGTTGTTACTGCTTATGTCTTCAGAAATGTTGTGTTTTTGCTTTTCATGAGCCAAGGGTCTATCATAAACAACCTCTCTACTTGTCAAGGTAGGGGTAAGGTCTACGTACATTCTACCCTCCCAAGGTTTGCGTATATATGTATTAATTATTTGCTTGGGCTGCTATTGACTTGGGTTTTAACCTAATTCAAGTCGAAGAAACTTATTCCAGTGTTCATCTACTTTCAATTTCCTCAACTTCGCCAGAGCCATCTGGTATGGAGGGATAGAAATATGATTTTTTTTGGTATATACTCGCAGTTTAAAATTTTATCAGTCAATTTCAGATGGGGGTGTCCAATCAGAAACATTTTCAACGTGTGTTGTTCTAATTGAACGTCGTCCAATGGAAATTGACTGATTTCTAGTAGTATACGTTAGACACAATGTCTATATTTGGTTTACCATCACATGAGAACATCATGATTAGTATCGAAACAAGAATTTCCATTTAAACCTTGAGATTTAGAATAGGCAGAATGGTCTGGTGGACCCTTGTACTTGTATCTGTTTGTATTGCGAACCCTTATACTTACCCTTTTGTCATCTGGACCCCTGAACCCATCCAAACCCAACATTTTAAACACTTTTTTTGATGTGGCATCCTATGTGGAAAGACTCCACATGGAGCGTGTAATACACACAAGGTAAGAGCGTGAGAAGCCTTAAAAAGGCACTACCGGTCAGATTTTGACCTTTAAAAGCCATCTTTCTTCTTTATTTTCACTCAAACACCATTGTTGGACAAATTCTCCTCTTTTTTCTCGATTTTGTCTCTTCAAATTTTTTTCTCTTTTATTTTTGGTGCCTTTATTTTTTCCTTCAATCTACTCATCTTTTTTTTGTGTGTGATTCTATTGTATTTTTGTTTCATCTTTTTTTTGTGTGTGGTTCTATTGTATCTTTGTTGGTTTGATTTTGTTGGTCTTTACAATGACGGCTCGATGTTGCTACTGTGGAATATATGCTGAACTAAAGACATCAAGAACACCAACTAATCCTAGAAGAATGTTTTGGGGTTGCCAAAAATATTCATCCGGTAATGGGTGTGGATTTTTCCGATAGGATGATGCAAATGATTCAACATGCCAAGAACAATACAACATTAAGAATCCATCAACGAGTTCAGGGCAAGGAAGACATAGATGACAAGGAAGGCAAGGAAGACAAGGATCAAACACTAGTATTGATATCACTGTTATTGTGATTGTTGTTATTTGGTTTGTAGCCGTTATTTTTAAGATATATTAATTTGTACTAGGTGTTATTTGATAATGAAATGGACTGCATTTGCTTCAGAAATCTAAATAGCAACTTCATTCAAGCACAAATTCATACAGAAAAACAAAGTCTTCCTAATAGCAACATAACACAAATTCATGTAGGCGCCATTCATATACAAAAACAAAGTCTTCCTAATAGCATAACCAAAACAACTGGGATCAAGTCATTAATCAAAATAAAGTTAGTTGGGATCAAGTCATTAAGCTAAACCAAGTGAAATCTAATGTGTGCCTTGAGTGCTTGGTGTGCCTTGAGTGCTTCTGTAACTCTCCTCCTGTAGCTGCCTTTGAGTAATTGCAGCTCTTCCCTTCTACCTTAGTCCATTGGGTTTGTAATACCATATCAGTAGAGAACAACAAAAATCTTAACCTAAAGATGAACTAATATCAATTAAAGCAATTTAATGTGTTTAAATGATAAAATACATACCCTCGCAGTTACACTGCCACCTGATCCAAATAAGAGACCATAACCAGCTGTCTTTGCTTTTTTTGGTCTTGGTTTCTTATATGCAAGAGTTGCACCACCTCTCAAAGCTGTGCTAGTCTTTCTTTTTTGGCCACCTGCACTAGAAGTTGATTGTTGAGCACTAATTAGACCTGCACTTGGAGTGCAACCTACACTTGGACCTGCACTTGGAGTGCAACCTGCACTTGGAGTGCAACTTGGACCTGCACTTGGACATGCACTTGAACCTGCACTTGGAGTGCAACCTGCACTTGGACCTACACTTGAACCTGCACTTAGAGTGCAATCTGCACTTGGACCTGCATTTACACTTGACTGGCTTCCAGCAGTTGCAGCACTTGCAACACTTGTTCCAGCAACAACATTTGAAGTTGCAGCACTTGTTCCAGCAGTAGCATTTTTCTACAAACATATTTTAAAGTCAAAAGTATAACAAGAGTAAAATTATGTAACAAAGAGACATCAAAGCACAACTTATCAGAGTTGGACATCCTTTCTTGTTATGTCCAAAAGTTTTACACACAGAACATTTCATTTTTCTTCCCTTCCTTGTAACCTTTCCAAACTTCTTCTTAAGTGGCTCATCACTATCTTTTCTCCTATTTTTTCCTGGTCTTCCTGGCATAGCTGTAATTTCAGGTGGTTCAATGACTGGTCTATCACTTTTTGGCCACATCTTCATGTTTGTCATAGGTTGAATAAACCTATTATATGCTTTCAGGTATGTTTCCTTCTTATACCAGTGATCAACAAATGTATCAACAATCTAATCCTTATAATGAATTGCTGTAAGTGCATGGCCACAAGGAATTCCCTTTAATTGCCATGACCTACAACTACACACCTTCTTTCTTAGGTCAACAACATGTTTATATGGTGGATCATGAATCTCAAAGCCAAGATCACCATTAAACTTTACCTCACAATTATCTACAATTTCAGCATTTTTTCTAAGAATATTCATAGCCATTGGTGCTACATCAGTAATCCATTTTTCTGAAAATTCTCTCATGTGATTCATTATTTCCATAACTTTGACTCTTATTTCCTCTAGCATAGTGATTATTGATTTGAACCTAGCACCTAAAATCCAACTGTTGAAAGTCTCACACATGTTGTTCTCAACCACATCACACTTGCTATGTTCTTTAAAATATGCCCTACACTATGCTTCTTTGTTATACTTTAACAAAGCTTCTACAATGCCTACTCCTAACTCACTCAAGTCATCAAGTTTGGACTGTAAAAGTACCTCAAATGATGCCCTGGCAACCTGCCAAAATTTTCTTCTCCTTTCTTCACCCCTCCAGTCTTTCTTCCAGTTTGCCCATATATGCCTAGCACACCATCTAATTTCAGCATTTGGCAATACATCAATAAGTGCAAGATGAAGACCCTGTCAAACAAAGAACATTTGACATACAACAATGTTAAATATTAATTACTCCAAAAATGAAGAAATAAATTTAACAAATAATATAGTAATACCTTTTGCATATCAGACATCATTGTTAGTCCTTCACCTTCTGTAAGCTCTAAATCATGTTTGATGCACTTGAGAAACCAAGACTATGTGTCTTTGGTTTCTTTATCAACTACTGCTTATGCTATAGGGTACATCTGATTATTTCCATCTTTGGAAATGCAAGATAACAATTCACCTTTACATACACTTTTAAGAAATGCACCATCTAAACCAATAATCCTTCTACACCCTTCTTTCCATCCAATTTTTAAGGAACCAAGACAAATATAGATGCTCATAAACACCTTTTTTCCTGAAATTGTGTTCTTGGATGTCCTAATAGATACAGTAGTTCCAGGATTTGTGGTTTTTAATTGCTCAGCATAATCATACAACCTAGCAAACTCCTCTCTGAAATCTCCTATATGTTCATTCATAACTCTCAGTTTTGCCTTTCTACAACTTGTCTTACTAACATACAAACCATATTGCTTTTGTATCAAAGACTGAATCTGATGTAGTTTGATGGTAGGCTCACTCATAATCCTCTCCTTGTAATGTTTACTAATCCAAATGGGGGTACACAGTTTGTTTCTTGTTCTTTTAAAACACTTATGGACAGGAAAATATGTTTTAACACTGAAATTTCTAGTGTTACCATCAATACTTCCAAGAATATGCCAAGGACAACCTTTTTTATTACACTTTGCCTTTATCTTTTCCTTCTCATTAGGTTTCAACTTAATATTAACACCCTTCTGAATAGAGTAAGTTTGCAGTGCCTCCCTGAACTCTATGTGATTCAAAAATACCATATACAATTGAAATAAAACCTTTTTAGCAGTTGGATCAAAGTAGATCTTTGTACTTTCCTTCCTAGGTGCTGGATCTACCACTTCATCATTCTCAACAGGATCCCCTTCATCTTCACTAATGTCACTACCAGGATCTGAGCTATCAAAATAAGGGTCATCACCACCCAAATTGCCTCCAAATCTCCCCCTCTTCTCCTTATAAATGTCTTCAAAACCAGCATCTATACCTATAGGACCAGATGGTATCTCATCTAGATTTACTCTAGCAGTCTTTTCTTTAACTTGTTCTTGAATATTAGACTGCCTAGCTTGAAGCAACTCCTCATCCAAATCACTCAAATCATCACTATTTTCATCAGTATCATAGAGTGAATCAGAATCAGAATGTTCTTCAACTCTAAGGGCAGGGGCTTGTTCTTCAACTAAAGGGGACTGCTCTTCAACTAAAGAGGGTTGATTTTGGTTTAAATCCCTATTTTCATTTTCATCAAATGGTTGAGATGAAGACATATCAGCCCTATCTATTTGTGGGGAGGAGGACACATCAGCATTATCTTGTTGTGGAGATGAGGACATATCAGCATTAGTGCAGGCAATACAAGTATCTCCTCTACAACTAAAAGTATACTAATGGGATGTACAACATATACATCAACAAAATCAACACCATTCAAACCATTCAGAAAATTTAAAACATCAGAATCAGTATTTAACATGTAAAAAGTACCCTTCTTGTTGACTCTACATCCAAATGTCTCAACATTTTCAACACCCAATTCCATTGCTATTTTATGAAACAACATAATATGCAACTCATCTACATCTATATTAATCTTTTCAACACTACTGATTCTATTGACATACCTTAAAGTAGGATT